CCCCCCGGTGGGGGGGGCCCCGGCGCTGGGGGGCCCCCCCCCCCCGCCACGCAGCAAACTGCTCTGCTGCTGAGCTAGGTGGGGGGGGAGGCACTGGGGACTTCAGGAGCAGGGCTAGTGCTGGGGTGCTCTTGAGGCTGAGCTAGCAGTGGGGGGCTATTGGGGCAGGGCTGGCACTGGAGGGCTCTGGGGATGGGGCTAATATTGGGGACTGGCACTGGGGGAGATTCTAGGCGGGGATTGGTTGCAGTAGGGCTCTAGAAACAGGAGACTGGCACTGGGGGCCTGGTGGGGGGGGCTTTAAGGGATGGGTGCTGGCACTGAGATGTTTGGGATGGGGGGCTGGCACTGGGGGACTCTGAGGATGGGAGGCAAGCACAGGGTGGGTTGGCTGTAGGGGACTTGGGTCAGTGCCTGGCAGTGGAGGGGTGGGGGGCTCTAGGAGTTAGGGTTGGCTCTGGGGGGCTGGGCTTTTGGTGGACTGACAATGTTCACCAATGACTTGGATCACTAGGTAAGATGTCTTTCAGGGACTGATTTAGCTAGAAATCATTTATGAGGCCAGAATCTTGTATGGTAAATTCACAATTAATGATGCAACTTGAAAGGCTAACTTCTTGGGCTCAATCCTTCAAGGTGTGCTGACCACCTTCGCCTTTTGTTGACGTAAGAAGGAACATGGAAGTAACCTACACCTTGCAGAGTCAAGCCCCTAGTTTGTAATTTGTTCTGTAGTTCTGTACTGCTTGCTGTTTGGAGCCCAAGGCCTAAGTTGTCCTCAGTAGAAAACTTTGTCATAGATCAGAATGAGTTTTATTCTAAATAGAGCAGTCAGCATGCTCACCTGCTAGGTTGCTTGGATCAGAAAGTTCTCTGTCTTTGCAGCTCATCTTGCTTCTGTGTTACTCTTCTTTCTGAGGCCTTCCACCCAGGTCATGCACAGCCGATATTTAATGTATTCTGTCAGGATTAGGGATATAAGCGACTAGTTGAGTTCACTACTCGACTACTTGTTTACCCTCCCCCCCCCTTGCTACCTCTGATACAGAGGCAGCAAGGGGAGGAGCAGGAGCCAGTGCTGGTGGGGAGCCAACTTAAAATGCAGAGCTGCAGCAGTCCCGGACCCGACGCGAGTTCGGACTGCTCAGTCCCAACTTGCATTGGGTCCAAGACCTACCCCTGGTGTAGCTCTATAGTTTAAATGTAGTAGGAGCTGGGCTGCCTGTGCGCCTGGCTCCTACTACATTTAAACTGCAGAGCTGCAGTAGGGATAGCTCCTGGACCTGGTGTGAGCTGGGACAGAGCACCTCCCCTTATCAACTAATCGTGTAGTTGATACAAATTGTATTGATTACATGATTAGCCATTTACTTGCTACTTAACATCCACAGTCAGGATCTTCTGCTCACCCTAGGTCCTCTCATGGCAGTGCTAGACGCTTCAATGCTTCTCTGCCCTTCTTCACGCAGCCTAGAAGAGTTGGATCCTTCTACTTCCCAGCAGTGTCTGCTTTATCAGTCATTTTAGTTCAGTGATTGTGAGCTTTGCCTACAGTCACCTGGTTACAAATCAAATCCTTACTCATATTGAAGAGGAGGATTAGATTCAAGTGTGTGTCAAAGGCATAGTCATAATGAGGAGCCCTGCCAATTTCAGGGCTCAGGTTGAACAGCCCAGGTGGACAAAGTCTGGGGGTGGGAGACAGGGACTCCCAAGTTCTAATCACAGTGTTCTGCCATCAGCTTTTCTGCACAAGACAAATCACTTTACCTTCCTATACCTGTCTTCCCCAGCCATTCATTTGGGAAACATCCCAAGTCGTTCCCAAGATGACCATTAATCTTCAGTAATGAAGATTAACACTAATTGTTGAAATGATACTCACCTCAAGTAACATTTGAGACAGTAACATACTGAAGCACATAGTTTAGCAGAGCCTGTAAGTGAATGCTGTTAATATAATTTGCTTTACGGGCATTTATTATAACACTAATTTCTTTTAAGTTCATAGTGCTTAAGATTGGAATTGCAAATAAGTTCTTGGTCAGTTTTTTGCATACTTGGTGTAGGCCGAGATCACATAAACTATTGTTTGCCTTGTCTTCTGCCTTAGGCCCTTCATTGATTCTCCACAAGAAAAACAAGGACAGGTTTAGTGGCTGTAGTTGACTGTTACAAAATAATTCTAGATATTCTTTCTGGTGAGCTTCAGGAGACACTAGAAGCAGCTTGGAATCATTCTGCATATTTGAGGTTATAGTTATATTAATATATATTTGCATATGTCAGAGAGCAATTTGACTGTTACTAATCGTGTGGTCGTGGGATTATGAGTATTTATTTAAATTCTACATTTTTTACTTCGGAGTTACTTCTGATTGAACTGTTACAAATGCTCCTTCTATTTGTTGATTGCCATAAAACTGAAATATAATGTAATAATGGCTCATATTAAAGAGCCGTTACTAATTCAGACCACTCAACTGGAATAATATACAACGGATTTAGATAAATTTACCACTTTGTGATCAGGCTTTGGTTTATTGATCGAGTTGTTATCCCTTTGCCCATGTTGAAAACTTTGTGTTGAATATAATTAATTAAATGTTAATGCTATTCTATTCATCTGTATTTTGCTTTTTGTAACTTATTTATCACTATATTTTGTTTAAGTTAATGAAATTTAGAAATGTCTAAATAGTCGTCCTGAGTATTGAGTGTACTTTGATGTAAGCAACATGATAGTGAATTTGTTGGGGAGCTTGAGATGCTTAACCGAGAACTGACCATTGTGATTTTAACACACTGAAAATATTTACACATCTGAAGCAAACAGTTTTTGCATGTGAAAGATGAAAGGATTTGGAATGCAGGCAAGGTATGACAACTAGGGATGTTAAATGTCGATTAATTGGAATTTCCATCGACTACTCGATAAGTCAATAAGGGGGGCACTCTACTGTGCCTCTGCCTTTGAAATGTACAAGAGCTGCCCAGGACTTTTGTACAGTTCAAAGGGAGAGGCGCGGGATCCCCCACTGCTGAGCCTCTCCCTTTGAAATGTACAAGAGCCGCCACGGCTCTTGAACATTTCAAAGGGAGAGGCACGGAAGTGGGAACCCCATGCCAGCGGGACCACTTCAGTCCCGCTAGCGTGGGTTCCCCGCTGCACCTCTGCCTGCCCTGCCCTCTGTGTAGATGGTGCTGGGGCGGAGCCATCTTTTAAGCTGGCTTCCCCCAGCACCGGCTCTTGGTACCCCCCCTTGGTACCTCTGTAACAGAGCCAGCAAGCGACTAGTCGACTAGTCACTTACATCCCTAACAATAACAGGCACAGAGTTTAAAAAACAACAACAAAAACAGTTTTTCAGGGGTATAGTAAGGCATAGTGGCCACCCTCAGAGGCTGAGGGAGTAGTACACACTCTCCGGTGGTTCTCTTCCACAAAAACTTGCACAAAAGCATGTCCACACCTCAAAAGCTATGTGCTTTTGCGCAAGAGAGCATCCACACTGCATGGATACTCTTGCACAAGAAAGTTCTGATTGCCGTTAACAGAATGGCTACCAGAGCATCTGTGCTTTTTCTGATCATCTCTTTTTGCCCAAGAAACCCTTGCAGAGCATCCACACATGCCTTTTTGCACAAGAGCTGTAGCGCAAAAAGGAGTTAATTCCTCATGGGGAGAGGAATAACTATACAGGCAAAAGCCCTCTGTCCTGTCAATGTACTGGTTTGGTTTGGATTTTTTGCGCAAAACGCGCTTGAGGTGTGGACGCTCTGCCGATTTGTTTTTGCACAAAAACCTTGTAGTGTACACATAGCCTAAGGGTAAAAAGCTTGTCTTTGCTTTCTCATGGGCTTGAACTCCCCTCTCCCTATGTGAAACAACCTCCTCCTGGAACAGTCGAAGGACTAACAAATTTCACCATCACCAAACGCTCCCAAGTGCCAGGTGCATCCCGTTGCTTCAAATAACAAACCTACTACACATACTGGGACTACAAAACACTTTTCCTCCTGCTTCAGGCAAGAAATTAGAATTAGAACATTGCATATTTTGTTTCAATGTTGATACAGGTTTAATTTCACTTGTGGGAATGTGAGTTGTTTAGGGCTGACCTGTTTTGGGTGGTGGTTTTTTTTAATTAGAAGTGGAGTTTTTAATTGAGATTTGCTGGATTGTAATGTCTGACATTCAATACAGGTTTTGACATTCAAAAAACAGCAGCAAACTTCACCCAAAACAACACGGTCACTAAAAAAAACCCTCTTAACCCCATCAAAACAAATCCGTACCCATTTTCCAGTTACTTAATGATGCTCTGTCTTCCACCCCTTTCCCTTTTTCTTTTTCTCCCCCCTTCCTTTCTCCTCTCCTATTTATTTTGAGTTTTCATATCCCCTACTCATAACTCCGGTCGTCTGAAGAAGTGGGCTGTACCCAGGAAAGCTCATGATCCCATCTACATGTTTTCTTAGTCTATAAAGTGCTACCAGACCATGTTTTTTTTTTCTGTAACAGACTAACTCTGCTACCCCCTGAAGCTCCAGAAAAAAACGAGCATTCATGTGAGCATCAGTGCAATCTGCAGCTCTAAAACCAGACTTAAATGGAATTAAATCCTGCCCCCTCCCCCAATATTGGGCAATTCACGTTTTGATTGAATGGAGGGGGGTGGCAAGTTGCAACTGGATGCCAATGCATCTGAGTGAAATTGCAATTGAATGAAACCACACAAACTGCCCCCCCACAGTGCCATGTGAATGTTAAATGGCTCATTAACATACACAGCCCCGCTGGGCAGGGGAGCCCAGCCCGTAACTCTGCCAGGGCCATGCACCCAGGCTCAGCAGCACTGCAGAGCAGCAAGGAGGGAGTCGCAACGCTTCCCTTCCTTCCCCTGCGCGCTGCAGGTTGAACGGCTGTTGACCCAGGGGCACTGAGCGGCGCTCGCGCCGCAGAGAAAAGGCGGGAAACAGCGCGGGCTCTTCCCCCTTCTCGCAGCGTGAGGGGAGGAGTGCAGGGAGGCGGAACCTCTGCTGCTGGAGCCCATGCACCCCCTGCAATTTCCCGTTAAGAAAAGAAACGAACCCCGAGGTTTGCAAGCACGATTAATTAAAAAATAACCCTTTAGTTAGCCGAACAGCTGGGGACCGAGATGTTCTCGGCTCCTAAGCGGGAAGAGGAGGCGCCTGAAAGCCTTTCCCTGAACCTAAAGCCCTTCTCCCGCCTCTGCTCTCCTGTGCTGTGCTTGCCAACCTTTCCAGTCTGCTGGCACCCTTCAGGATGCTGCTGTGGCTTGCATCGCTCCCAAGTTTCACCTCACTTCAAAACCACTCACAGGCATAACATGCCAAAGTGGCCCAGCACACTATGCCTGAAAAGTTGCACAGGATCGCATTTTAACCATAGAATTATAACTCAACTGAGATATACTGTACTTCCATGTCATTGTACAGCCACTCCCCCACTTATGAACACACCGACTTACGCCCAACCTCGCATTAACCCCATTATAATATTTTCAAGTTGAAAACCACGTACGCCAAGTTTTTCAAACAGCATGGGCAGTGCGTATAAGGGTATTTCCGACGTATGACCAGGTGTTCTGTATATACTTACTTACTGCCCGTTACGCCAAGCGCATAGGGCAGCAACAAAGACCTTCCACTTCTGTCGGTTGCAGGCCAAAGCGCCTATTGCTCCCCGAGTGTGATGATGGTCTTTTAATTCTTGTTCTACCGTTCGGCGCCAGGTTGTTTTTGGTCTTCCTCTCTTTCTCTTCCCATCTGGTTTCCAGTGGAGTGCAATTTTCGTAATAGATCCGTCTTCTCTTCGTAACACATGACCTATCCATCGCCAGCGTCTTTTCATAATTATAGTGGCCATGTCTTCTTGTTTACACTGAGACAATAGGTCTTTGTTGGAAATTTTATTTGGCCAAAATATCCTGATTATTCTTCTACGATTCTGTATATAGAGCAGTATAAATGGGGCACTGTATAAAAGTTCAGTTTGTACTGACTTTGCTAGTTTTTAATTAGGGATGGCAACATGTAGTCCACAACACGATTAACTGATAAGCCTTGGCTTATCGGTTAATCTTATCGGCTACATGCACACACACACACACACCCACCCTGCCACTGCCTGTGCCTCAGTGCACATAAAATTCTATACATGGATTGGAAAAAAAAAACCCACATATGGCTGGAAAAGAGTAGAGGGAACAGTGCTGAGTACTCTCAGGAGTATGTGTGCCCCTCATTGAGATCCACTGCTCTAGGGCAAGGCCGTGTATGGAGGTAGTCCTTATGAAAGGAGAAATTCTTAAGGGACTCCTCTTATCTCTCTCCTGAAAAGCAGACCCTAGGATCAGATTGAGGAATGGAACCCGTTAGCAGGCATGAGAGTGTCCAGTTACATATCTGGGGGAAGACTATTTCTGATCTCTTGTCTCAGCTCTCCACTTTAGGGAGAGATTCTCAAGGGGACTGATTGAGAGGGCAGAGTGGGAAACAAAGGCTCTTAAGCAAAGTAAGTTGTCATGGGATAAGAGGGTGTATGAGCATGAACAGCAGAGCCCTCCTAATCCATACACAGTTGCATAGGACACTCTAAGATTTAGGGCACAACTGGATCTTAGTGTCCAGCTACCTACCAATTCCTGTCCATATTTTGTGGCTTTGCTTCCTCCAGAGAGGATCTAGTTAACTTAAAAGTGAAAAATCTGCCAAACTTATTACAGAATCTGTGAAAACCATTCAAGTAGTAATGAAGCCATTAAACAGGCATTTGCCAGCCCCTCTGTTTCTGAATGTACTGTGTTGTCTGCAGGACCTTAGTTTAAAATTTGTTTTAGAAATATCTCATTACTGTATTGCTGAAGATTGTAACAGGGCACATGGGTTTATTTGGCTTGCAGGAGTGAGCCTTTATTAAGTATCAGAGGGGTTGCCGAGAGTCTGTAACAGGAAAAACAACAAATAGGCTAGTAGCACTTTAAAGACCAACAAAACATGTAGATGGTATTATGAGCTTTCATAGGCACAGCCCACTTCTTCAGATGACTGGAGTGTTGGAAGTCCAGAACCAAAAATAAATAAGGGAAGGGGGGAGGGGAAGAGGCTATTGGTAGATATGTTTCAAAGGGACAGCCAAACCAGTCTGTAACAGGAAAAACTTAAACAACAAATCGGCTGATAATACAGGCAGTCCCCGAGTTACGCCTTACGTCGGCTCCGCAGTTACGAATGGGGCCCTCCCTCTCCCTGGTCTCCAGCAGACCAGGGAGAGGAAGCAAAGTGGCGGAACATGCGGGCAGCAGCGCATGCTCCGTGGCTTTGCTCTGCTCCTTTCATAACTTATCCCAAGGTTCTGCCCATAGGCATTTCAGCATTCCACCTGCGCAGAAGAATCTCTTTGCTTTGATACAGTAAAAACATCTGAAACATGTACAGTTACACTTGGAGAAAGCTATTTGAAGACAGCTGGATTGACACCTTGAAATTAATGGTCAGTGATATGTACATAGTAATGTGGCTATCATCCTACTGTAGAATGAACATGTTTATGTCTAGGCATTAGAGCTCATTACACTAGTATTCATCAGGGACATTCCTCAAAGAGCAGCAGACCCTGCAAATTTCCAAATTGTCGGGCAGCTCAGTAGAGCTGAGTCAACTTTCACAAGATCCATTAACAAAAAAGGTAGGGTTAGTAATTTTTTCCACATCAGATGATTTTAGTAAGAATCTTATACCCATATCTAAAAACCAATTCCTTGTCAATAACTAAGAATGAAATCCATGTGGACAAATATATGGATTGTTACATTACACATATCCCCACTCCCCTCCCAGACACTGCAGTCAAGAAGTGATCTCCTCATGTATACCAGGATCTTTTCTCATGAATACCAGAAACAGTCTTGTCTACAAATACATTAAGAAGTTAACTATTCTGACTCCAGGGGAAAATGTGCTTACTTGACTGTGCAAGGGAACCAAAATGAAACTTAAGAAAGGGCTCGATAGGTTTAAAGAATGAGATGAGCCCGAAGTGGGGAAACAAGGGATTGGAACAGAGACAAATTTAATTTAAGAGTCTCATCATTTGCACTATTGACCAAACCTAAGGTTATGTTCCAGAGTTACTTCACATCCCTCAGTCACTGCTGAAGTGTAGAGAAAACAATACATTTATTTCCACGAGTTTAATAATGCTGCAAAATGTCAGACAGCTGTTCTATTTGCAACACTGACCCAACTGCTTACACTGCCATAGTCACTGAAGTCAAAAGGGCGTGGTGCACAAGAGTTTCATCAGTAGGATTCATATGAAAGTATTGGTCAGTAAAACTAGTACAGAGGATGGTTGACACCAAGTCAGCTATTTGACAAGATTTCTCCTAACTTACAGTATACAATCTTTAAATAGCCAGAAAGTTAACCAAAAAAAATACAAAACACACTTGACACTGTTCTTATCCAGGATTCAGACACGACTATCCTCAGATTAACACAGTAGAGCACAGACAGTACAAATTTACTTCTGCTTTGAGAAGAATTCTTTGCTCTTCTGAACATCAGGTTTGATTGTTTCACTCCCAGGTTTCCAGCCAGCTGGGCAAACTGAAAGACAAGTTATTAGAAGTTTCTGTAAGACAGGTTTTTTTTGTCCGTCCCCCCCAGAGAACAGTGTGCGCCAGCATTTCACATGAACACTACAAATACACAATATGATTACAGCAATAAGCAACTGTCACTCCTATTCACCTTTGTTTGATTTAATTTACTTCTATTTTGTACTTCAGTTATCAGTGCCCAAGGAAGCTATGGACAACCTTAATTCTGACATTTCCTAACTTTTGAATGCGTTTATAGCTATTTGCTGATTCAGGAATCCTGGGAGGGGAACGTACTCTAATGCAGTTAAACGTTAACAAGCTTAGGACCCTCATTTTGATTTACTTTTTTGGGGCCCCTTTGCCCCACCTTGTCAGAAGGCTTGCCCCTACTCATTCAGTCCCCCCTCCTTCTATCCTGTTCTCCTGCACCCTTACTCACTTTCACTAGGATGTGATTCTGCTGAGGATGCAGGCATCTGGGGTGGGGCGAGGGATAAGTGGTTTGGGACACAGGAGGGAGTGTGGGACCTACTTACAATGACCTAGAAGCAGCTGTCAAGTTACCCCAACTTAGGTGCATGGGCAGCCAGAGGCTCTACGTGCTGCCCTCACACCGACAGGCACAGCCCCTGCAGCTCCCACCAGTTGCTATTCCTGTCCAATGGGAGCAGCTGAGCTGCTGCAGGGGCAGCCCTATGCCTACAAGCCATCCCAGGGACTGGACAGCTGCTTCCAAGAACCACACCAAAACAGGACACGTAGGGAACCTACCTTAGCTCTGGGCCCCAGGAGACACTGGAAGGATGGGGGAAGACGATCAGTGGGGCTCATGGACCCTCACAGAGTTCCTTCATGGACACCAGTTAGAATTGCTACTCTAGTGACTTTACATCTTTGTCCTCATTTTGGCTCTGTTCCTCTGCTTCTCTCCCCTCCCCCAAAGTTCCAGTACAGGCTGCTTCTTTTTTCATGGCCTGGGTACCACCAGAGGGCTAGTGAGTACATAGGACAGTCTTCCTGCCCAGTTCTAGTGCCTGGCTCCACTAGTCCACAGGGGCTAGGAGGAGCACGTGCAGCGGAAGTACGGCTCAGTTTCTGGAGATGCAGACACAGCCTGGTCAGCACAAACTGCGCTGCAATGGCACATGCCCAGGACAGGCAGAATTTTTGGAGACTTCAACAATAAGCATCTGAGCCTATAGCAACTGATTTCAGAGCCTTCTAGCTTAGCAATCCACTCAAAATGTGGCTGTTCTAGTGAAAAGGCAACATACCTTAAACCAGGGCAGACTCAACCTGCCAGTGTTTCTGCCCTAAAGCATAAAGGCACTAGTGATTTTAAATGATTGGAGGAATTTACTATGGGCAACAGTAGTTTTCCCTAATTGTGTTCGGACATATTTAGAGGAGAATCTTTAAGACAAAGATTCAGCCTGAGGGGGACACCTGGAATGAAAGTTGCAGAATGGGTAGCTAACGTTAATGCTATGCCATTTAAGCTCACATCTTGTAATGGAAAGTGTGAGGTAAATGATTAACCCCATCCATAATTAATAGCATATGACATTAAGTAGCAATTGTTTGGTTGGAAAGAACTCAATAGTCTTGAGTATCATGTAATTATCTCCCAGAATGGCAAGTTTTTATTAGCAGTTCTTCAGTGGGTTTATATCAGTGCAACAGATTCCAACCTCCAACACCACAGAACCTGTGGACTGAATACAAGAAAGCCTTGAGCTGCTAGCCAGTTGCTCTTCTGACCTTCCTAATTTGACTTGCCCCATGACTACAAGGAGGGGAAGAGGCAGAGGCATGGAGAGCTGCCATGCACCATCTCCCCAAGCCTTTCTATAGGGTGTCCTACAAAACCCAGTGGGAAATGCAGCCACTGCAGGAACTTAAGGACCACTCCAGTATCACCCATGTCTTGCATAGTACTTTTCATCAGTATGTCTTAACTGTATTTTCATCAATACGTCTACTTCATCCCGGGAGGACAAATTGTACAGCCACTGGTTAGCAGTACGTTTGTTCAAATGTTAGAAGGCGTAAGCCACTGAACTAGATCAAGCAATTGCTAACTACTGACTTTGCTTGATATTACTCAGTGGCTGTGTCTACACTGGCATGAATTTCCGGAAATGCTTAAAATGGAATACTATTCCGTTTTCAGTTTTTCCGGAAAAGGAGCGTCTATATTGGCAGGCTGCTTTTCCGGGAAAAGCCCTTTTTCCGGAAAAGCGTCTGTGGCCAATGTAGACGCGCTTTTCTGGAAAAGAGCCCCGATCGCCATTTTCGCGATCGGGGCTTTTTTCCCCGGAAAAGACTGGGCTGTCTACACTGGCCCTTTTCCGGAACAGTGTTCAGGAATAAGGACTTATGCCCGAGCGGGAGCAGAATAGTTTTTCCGGAATAGCGGCTGATTTTGTACAGTAGAGCATCGTTGCTTTTCCGGAAATTCAAGGGCCAGTGTAGACAGCTCGCAGCTTATTCCGGAAAAGCAGCTGATTTTCCGGAATAAGTGGCCCAGTGTAGACACAGCCAGTAAGTGCCCAATGCTAGAATCAGACTTATTTCTAAGTGATTATATACTAGATGAAGCAATGCTTTATAGATTAACTACAGTAGGAGGGGTGTAAGAATATTGTTGCATTTTTATAGCTAAGAAGAGGACTTTTAGAAAGTAAGATTTGTTTTGAGGTGCATCTTGAAGTTACTTCCAACTAAGTTTTTACACAACGCTTTATCCAAAAACATCCAAGTGCCCCAAGTTTACCAAAACCCTGACTAAGTGACATTGCTTTCAGTTGATAAGGCTATTTCTCTTCACAGGAGGAAGAGAGGGTAATTTTATATGCCTCAGGTCAACTGATTCGAGAGCTTACCTTCACCATGTTTATCCGTAAACTGGAAAGCCTGGACTAATCTGAGAGTTTCATCAACTGAACGGCCAACAGGGAGATCATTGATGGTGATTTGACGCAAGATTCCCTTATCATCGATGATGAACAGGCCTCTGCAAAAAAGCAGATAAAGCAGTTTTGAATGCAATGCAGGACAGAGAATGAACTTTGAAAAAATACACACACACAGGAGCACTGCAAGTGTTTGTTTTTTTAAAGTGTAACACTAAGTAACTGAGTTTCTCAAAAAGCTTCTGACCATAATACTATCCACTGCACATAATAGTCAAACAAGGATTTCTCCCACAATGCTACATTGTATGCTCATCTTCAACACCAGCTAGAGGAAACAGGAGAACAAGTTCTCATCTGGAGATCATTTACAACTCCCATTGCCATATGGAACATACCCAGGAAAGTAGAGCCTTCCTTGCCTAAGGATCCATATGGGGGAGCGGAGAGGGAATAGGGGAAGGCAGCAAAGACAAGGAAGTTCCTTTCATAAGGATAAACAGAACACTCATGTCTGACCAAATGAAGCCATAGCCCAGTTTCCTTTCAAAGTTACATTAGTGCAATCAAATACCTGCTGATCATCAGAGGTGAGGCCACTGAAATAAAGACTCGAGTTAAAGCTCTGAATGGTTTGCAGGGGTGAACAGAGGCCCATGGGTGAGATACGGCCCCTGGCTTTCCTGGATCCAACCCCCAAGGCTTAAGGCCCACCCCCAAGATTGGAGAGGAGCACTGACATTCCAGCCGCCCTCCCCAGTCCCACCATGGCTACTAGGCTGGGCCACCCTAGGCTCTGGTGTGCAAGAGGAATGTGGAGAGTGGAGAATGTGAAAGGGTTATTTTTTGGGTGCTTCACATGTGTGCAGCCCCTCCCACTGATTTTTCTGCAGGTCAGTTCTCCCCTCCCCCCCCAAAAAAAGTCCCTACCTGTTGCTTAAGGCCACAAAGAATTTGGCGGTCTTCTAGCCTTACCATATACTTTGAATGTCAATTTTCTAAATGTGTTAGATCTCCAGTTCCTTAGCCTAAAATGTAGTCATGAGGCGTGTGTGTACAGGAAGTTCACACACATGCCTAACTAGCTATTACTCTAATTAGGTTAGTTTTTATATCTATCCTGGCAAGTCTTGTGCACTTTGGGGATTAGAGTGCTTCACTGAATGTTTCCATAGTGATGAGTGGCAGCTAGCCAGTACACTGCCCTGTAGTGACATTAGGAAAGTAACTTTTAGCTAAGGAAAGAAACCAAGGCAAGTCCCCGCATTTGAGAAAGGGGGCCTTTGGCATCCAAACCCATCAGACATGTCTGAGAAAGAAAGCATATTGAAATTGTGTGCAGGGCAGCAAAAAAGCTAAACGAACAACTTTTAGTTTGCAAGATCTCCCAAGTCCATGCAAGTTAAAAAAGCTACACAAACAAATTCCAGATATTTCTCTTCTGTTTGAAGTAATCTGTGGATCACAAAAGTCATGATATTATTCTGCCAGGAGCCTTACCTGTATGCAATACCTTCATCTTCTTTTAATACGCCATACTCTTTAGCAATGGTGCGTTTTGTATCAGAAACCAGTGGAATGTTCATGTTACCCAATCCACCCTGTTTTTTAGGAGTATTGACCCTGAAAAGGAAGAGGAAATCTTGAGAGGAGAGTACATAGTTTTGGGGGGGGGGGGGGGGGGGGGGATTTATGAGG